GGGGGGGGGGTCTTATAGGAGATTATCGCATCCAGAAATCACGCCAGGATAGATGCGGGATTGAAAAGTCAAAAATGGGTGTTATCGCACGCATGCAACCCGTATGCAGCCTGGACCCCACCCACGCTTATCCAGTGGCTTTTTAAAAACTTTTTAAACTTTTTTAACACAAACGCCATTTTTGAAAAGCCGCTGGATAAGCGTGGGTGGGGTCCGGGCTGCATGCTGGTTGCACTTGCTCGGCCACAGCTGTGCGCAATAACACCTGTGCTTGACTTTTCAATTCCACATCTATCCCAGTGGGATTTCTAGGTGCGATAACCACCATACATGTTTCATCTACAAGATTGTCATGAGTCAGAGCCAACTCAAGGGCAGTTAACAACAACAACAACAACAACAATGTAAGACCTACCAAGAACCAAGTATGGCTTGTTCCTGTATTTCATAGGTTAAAAGGAGTGCTAGATTAGTACACTTTTACATACGTTAAGTGACAGGAAAACCTGAGAGGCTTAGCTGCGTGCGATAACACTGGAACTGAGTTTGTGCCCCAGAATGTTTTCTGAAAAGCACCAGGACTTGCACAGAACTGCAGGAGATCATTGCTAGAATGAACTGAAGGCTACTAGCATCACAGACCAAGAACTGCCATATGTGAACAATATGAGGAGCAGAAACTCATAACCAGAATGTTCTGGATTAGTTCTTTCCCCCTTCATCTTGAACAAAAATCTTGAGCTGCTCTTCAGCTAGAAATTAATGAGATGTCATGGTGTCACATATCAGAGTACACCACTAAGGTGTCATTCTATGTCAAGAAGAGCTTTCTGACCAACTGTGAGCATCTTTATCCAAAATTTGCTCTCACGTGCAAAAGCTAAACATTGGACGTTATCATACCAGGGGTCTCAAAGCGGCAAGAAAAGCTGCCTGGAATCAATCCAGCACCATTCCGGAATGGACGGAATGGTGCAGGATTGATTCTGGTCACGGCAGCCGTAATTCCTGAAGATGCCCGGAAATCAAAAGAGCTGCAATGATGCAGGGATGATGCAACGATGATGCAGGGATGGGCGGGGTTTGCCGCGACGTCGTCTGATCCCAGGATCCAAGGATCCAGAATGATGCAGGGATGATGCAGCAATGATGCAGGGATGGGCGGGGTTTGCCGCGACGTCGTCTGATCACAGGGGCAAAGGATCCGGAATGATGCAGCGATGATGCAAGTATGGGGCTGCTTTAGACCCAGTGTGATAACGTCCATTGTTTCAGTATTTTTGCTGTTTTTCATTGTTGTGATGATGACTGGAGTTTTGACTGCCTGAATCAATGTATTGTGTTAATGATAAAGTGTCCTGAATTAAGATCAGAGTACAAATATTTTAGTCATCAGCACGCTTGCAGAAAGCATAGGATGAGTCCTTCTTGAATTTTCATTTGCGAGGAAAAGCCAAAGAGACAAATATTTTAATTGCTACATAAAAATGTTTTTCCCCCCAAAGTAATTTGTGACCACTGGTTCAATGGCAAAGAAGATCATTAAAGATAAAATAGGTTTTTAAATCAAGGACAGCTATACATACAACTGCACATAACAATCTGGAAGGTGTGAAAAGCAGTCTGAAATGGCAAGGGAGAGCACTGAAAATTCTTGATCACTTAATCCTTTTTTTTTATTTGGAAAGGGCTTGAAGGCATTATCAGCATGATTCATGTAGGAATTCACTCATTTTACAGTCTTTAGCTGCAAGGCTTTTGGACCAAACTGTATGAGACCTTAAGAATGTAGTTCAGCCTGTGAGTTCAGGGACTTCCAATACCACCACACTGAACTTGGAAGTAATTTATTACCTACCTGTACAGAGAATACCAGTAATACATTAGTTTTGAAAAAGGGAAAATAAGATTATTTTTTGCAAAACAGTACAATGATTGTTAACATCATGACTATTCTGTGTAATTAATAAAGATAACCCTGAATAGTGATTACTCATAAAGTGTCATTTCTTTAGGGAGATTTTGGGACCTTTTCATTTTAAGCTTTTTAAAAAAAATACTGAAGAAAGTAATAGAAAAGCAGTGCATTTATAAAACTTTATATGTACAGCAACATGCAATGAATAATGTCAGAATAATTTGTTGTTGTTGTTGTTAATTTTTCACCCACCTCTTCCCATGGATCAAGGCGGGGAACAACAGACCAACACACAACACATAACATCTGTCAAAAATATAACATCAGTTAAAAGCACATAAATGAATTAAAACTCATAACATTAATTTAAAAGAACAAATAAGGCAGCATACATAAGAACAATCAATCCACAGTTTAAAATTCACAATTTAAAAATAGTCTGGATAGGCCTGTTGGAAGAGATAGGTCTTTAATGCTCCTTTGAATTCAGATAGCGTATTCAGTTGTTGAATCTCCTCCAGCAGGTTGTTCCACAGTCTAGGGGAGGCGGAAGAAAAAGTCCTCTGGGTGACAGTTGTCAACCTAGTCCTGGGTGCCTGGAATAAATGTCTGCCAGAGGACCTGAGTGTATGGGGCAGATTATATGGGAGGAGACGATCCCACAGGTAACCTGACCCAAACCTGTAACAGCCAACACTTTGTACCTTGCCCAGAAACTAAATGGAAGCCAGAATAATAAGACAAGTAGAAGTAGTGGTAATACCTAACACATTACTTTAAACCACAACTATCTCCAAACTGTTAGTGCAGAGACTCCAGTCCTCCTATATACACAGCTTTAATCTGGGCAGAGTGCTCAAGAAAAATTTCTGGGAAAATAAATAATTATACTTTTGTTGAAAGGAACAATTATCACCAAGGGTTCGCTTGAGCCTAACCACCATCCTCTAACTTTAATGCCGAGAGGCTCGGTTTCAACCAGCTCTGAGCATGTGTAGAGTACTATCTCCTCATTTATGCAAAATCATAAGTAGCCTTCAACTAAGCTAGCTGGAAGTCTGCCAAACTGAGATTGCAACAATTCGAGTCAGACTCTTCTTATTTTAAAAACTAATCACCAATCTTCATTACCTATTGCCACTATACCACACGTGTAAAAGTCACTGAAATGCTAAGTGATGGACAACAAAGCAATAATCTAAAAATCAACTAAGAGTATCATTCATTTATGATCCAGTTATGAAACATACCACAACATCTCCTAAGAATTCAGGTTAAAGTACAAGAATTATGTTATTATGTGCCCTCAAGTTGTGCCCAACCTATGGCAACACTAAGGCAAACCTATCCAGGGTTTTATAGGCAAGATTTGTCCAGAGAAGGTTTGCCATTGCCTTCCCCTGAGGCTGAGAGCATGTGACTTGCCCAAGGTCCCCAAATGGGTTTCATGACCGAGCTGGAAATCAAACCCTAGTCTCCAGAATCATAGTCCAACATTCAAACCATTACACCACACTGGCTCTGTTACAAGAACTGGTACAAGATCACAATTCATGGCACTCAGGAATTTTCACACACACAAAATTGCTAAATCAGTGACAACTGTAACGGATAAACATGGCAGAGTAACGGTTAAAGAACACTGAAACATGTGGAGCTTTTTCCACAGGGAACAAGTAATTTACAGAGCACCTTGAAACATTTTGGGCATGATGGGTGCCAGCTGGAAAGGTATCCACCTTGTAAGTATGACTTATCATAACTCTAAAAAGGGAAGGAAGACAAACTCTGGTTCATGCTACCAGATGTCCTAAAAGACCCCAGTGGCAAGGGATCGATGAGCTTTCCCTGATTTCCTCTTCTTTCCCCATTCCTTTTTCCTTTTATATTCACTAGAGTGTAAGTGTGCACACAGGGGTGTGTTACTTTTTAATCTTTGTGTAATACTTATAAAACAGAGGAGAGGAGGCATTACATTGAGATTATGTTGAGAATTATAGTTATCCAGTTGCTGTGTTCACTGAGGTAGCTGCACAAACCAAAAAACAAAACCAGATTCATAAACAACAACAAAACCAAAAGTAGGATGTAATGGAATGTAACAGCAGCTGTAGACACTATTTCCAATTATTTTGCTAGAAAACATCACAAACTTGGAACAATTACTAAGGCAGGCTTAATGCTGAACATAACAAAAACAAAAATAATGGCCACATAGGAACTACAGAAATTCAGCCTAGACAATGAATAAGGTGAAATAGTTAGAGTTCCTGTACCTTGGATCAAACAGTGATCAGAATGGAGACTGTAGTCAAGAAATCAGAAGAAGGTTAGGAATAGCAAGGCCAACCATGAAATAATTAGACAAGATTCTAAAGTGTAAAGATATACAACTGAGCACTAAAGTTAGAATCAAAAAGCCACTGTATTCCTCATCATCATGTACGAATGCAAGAGCTGGAAAGTGAAGAAAGCAGATACAAGGAAAATTTACTCATTTGTGATGTGGTGTCGGAGAAAAGTACTCAGGATACATTGGTCAGCCAAAAAGAGAAGCAGATGGGTCCTGGTGCAGATCAAGTCTGAATTCTCCCTAGAAGCTAAGATGACTAAAACTGAGGCTGTTGTACTGGCCACATCATGAAAATGCACAACTCATTAGAAAAGACAATAATGCTAGGAGAGGTACAAGGCAGTAAAAGAAGAGGAAGACTGCATGCCAGATGGCTAGACTCAAATAGCAGGGTCATGGGCATGAATCTACAAGACTTAAGCAGAGCAGTGAAGGACAGGAAGTCTTGGAGATGTCTCATCCACAGGGTCTCCATGAATTGAGGTTGACTTCAGGCCAGTTAACAATAATTCTATTACATTCTACAGTTTTCTTACTGAACATGTAATAGGGTTTTTGGTTTGTGTATCTTTGGCTGAGATGCCTCCATTCTACTATTGTTAGTTACCCTGCAATAGTTGTTCGCATTTCTAAGACCAAGGCAATAAAGCCATTCAGTAAACTAGACAGCTCATTGCTACAAAATGCTACCATCAGCTCCACATCAAAGCACTGAGCCATCACACAACTCTTGAACTTCTCCTACAACCCTAATTTAAGGAGAAAAGTGACTATACCACACCCTGCCTTGGCTTTTAATGAATTTTAAAAAAGGGACTTCGGAAATGTCCTTGTTCTTTGCCTGCCCATGTATGTTAGCTGATGTTAAGTCAGCTAAACTGATATTGATTTTCAAAAGACTGAGAGACCATTATTCAACATTCCTAAATGAAATGCTACAAAGCAAATTTGGGGTGGATTTTTTTTTCCGATACAAAGAGATGGAGAGAGAAAAGTGAAGAGAATTGTTTTCAATGCACTACAGAAAGACACTGAAGGCTGCAATCCTATACCCACTTACCAGGAAGGAAGCCTCAATGAATTCAATGTGACTTGGGTTTGAACAGACATACTGCATGGGAAATCTCATACATCCACCTTTAACAGTCACCCACAAACCCATCAGCTACTAAAACCACAATCCCTTGATCAGCTCATCATTTCCCAATTTCTACCCCAGCATGAAATCATCCCAGGTTTTAAGGTGCAAGGCAGAACTTGCCTACCTAGAAGGCCATGGGGTTCAGATTTACGCCTTTCGGAGCTCCTGCCTTGATCCTTTCGTTTCTTGCTTCCTCTGAGACTGCCAAATCGCTTCATGGGCTACAACAGGCGTAAGCACCAGCAGCCGTCACTCATACCCCTGTATCTGAAAGCAAAGGCACTCCACAGGTGGAGTGGAGGGCAGAGGGAAAAACGCCAACTCAACTTGTCAACACTGGTTGGTGGAGTGCAAATGAGCAAATAACTCCAAGAAGAAGGGGAAAAACAGACATGAACAAACTATCAAGCTTTCCAATAATAGGAGTTGAAGGTCTGATTCAGACCTTTGAGCCCACAGAAGCTTGTGCCTTACAAACAAAAAACTGTGGCAAGAACAGGCTGTGAATAAAACATTCTTAATGCTAAGTAACACACTACTCAGCCAACATCTGTTGATATCAGGAGCAGTTGAACACTCCGTTCAACTAGCAATAGCAGCACTTAAATTCTAGAGGAGAAAAAAAAGGAAGAAAGGAAGAAAGAAAAAAAGAAGGTAGCAGTAGCAGCAGCAGCTTGTTCCGCAGTCAAAGCAGAATTGTTCAACAAGCTGATCAGCTTCGGCAGAAAAGGGCTGTGGCTGGATGATACGCTGCCTTGATTTAAATAAAACACTGAATGGACGAAGTGAGCACGAGATCCCTTGAAGGTAACTGCCATGTGCACTTTGGCGTGATGTCCCTTTAAAAAAGACTGTAAAAGGAAACCACCCCTGAGCAGACAATTCCTGGCACCAATTGGCCAGAGCCACATTCCCATTATGACATCACACAACTATTTTGATTCATGTCTCCTAGGTCTTTAATGCTGCTTGCTGACAACCTAAGAGATGCCAAACCCTTCCAGGACTTAAGCAGCAAGCCAGTTAATGAGGAATGAGATGCTGCCAGTTTCATGGCAAACAATTAAGTGGGTAGGTCCATTCTTAGAAACTTTGCGATGAGGGGGAGAAGCACCCTGGAATCTTCTGTCCTCTCTACATGTGTATGCAAAAATACTCTGGCAAGTGCACAGTTGCATCTTTCCGCATAGAACATTAATGATCGCACAGGACAAAGCATTAGGTGTTAGTAGACTTTAGCCTTGTGGGTTCTGCTTAAATTTTTCAGCAGAATACTGGTGCCTAAGAAATAACATAAAACAAAAGAATTTTGAACCCAGGAAGTTTTGAGCATGAGAGTTAAACAGAGCTAGCCATTTTCCTGTACAAAAATCCACTTCTGTTTTACTCCACGTTCCCGCCCCTGTCCATGCTGACAGTTTAAATTACAGCAGGAAAAGAGTCATTGTCATGCTCTTCCTTCTAAACAACTGGGAGTCAGAAATCTTTGTAAATCAATGAGAGATCTTGACATACTTCACTACCTTCTGCCCACCCCTTAATACATAAGTTCTCCTTGTTTTAAGAATGAAGCTTGGAATACAGAGATCAAACATAAATCCCTACTGGGATCTTGTAGTACTTTTGAGACTAACTGAAAGAAAGAAGTACTAGCACACTAAAGTCTACAAAAGCTCATGCTACCAACTTCTTTCAGTTAGTTTCAAAGATGCTACAAGATCCCTTTGCATACTGATTTTCCAGACTAACATGGTTATACCTTTGAATAAATTCCTACTATTTCATGAGCCTGGAAGGGAAAACATTAAAACACAATGCAGGATACTGAATAACTAGATACTGTTTCTGTCCTGTACAAACACAGTCCATGGCCACATGCATGTTTAGTATGAATAAAAAGCAGAATTTAGGGAATTTTATTTTATTTTTAAAAAATGTTACCATAACAACCTCCTGTTGCACATGTTGGACTTCAGTTCCCATCATTCCACAGTTAGCTAGAGCAGTTGTGGGATTATGAGAGTTGAAGTCCAACACATCTAGAAGGCAACAGGTTGGGATAATAGGACTACAACTCCCAGAATTCCTCATGTAGCATGGTCTTGCTAGCTGGGAGTTTTTCTGAACTATAGTCCAGGGCAGAACCCATGTTGAAAACAACTGCCATTTACATGCAAAATGTGGCACATAAGTTATTTGAGTAATTATTTCAACAACTTTGCTAAGCAGGCCAATATTCAATAATGCCTGCATTTTTTTCTTTCTCTTTTCTGATTGTATTGGGTTATTGCTTACTGTCATGTATTTTAAAAACTAAAAAAAATATTCAGTAACTCTGTAAGCTAGCTCTCCAATTTGGGGAAGCGGCCTTGAGAAGGAACAACAGGGCTTTACCTAAGATTCAAGGTTATGCACTGAGGACAAGTGGTCCAATATCATTGCCACAATGCATCCACTCAAGGTTTTATGTGCAAGGAGCTAGGAAAGTACCCCTAAAATAAAGGCACGATTTGCAAAGTGGGTCCAGAACCTTGGATAGCTCTTTTAAATTTCAGATTGAAACCTGGAACATACACACTCTCCCACTGACATAGTGGGATTTATGTGTAACATACAAATACACATTACAGGATCCCACAAATTGTTAATTACAGCAGGAAAATAGTTTTCTGTTCTAAAATGTCCTTCCAAAGAAAGTGTTGTTATTATTGTTGTGTGCCTTCAAGTCGCTTCCGACTTATGGCAACCCTATCATGGGGTTTTCTTGGCTAATTTCTTCAGATCAGAAGGGGTTTGGCATTGCCATCCTCTGAGGCCGAGAGAGCATAACTTCCCCAAGGCCACTCAGGGGTTTCCATGGCTGATCAGGGATTCAAACCCTGGTCTCCAGAGTCATAGTCCAATGCTCAAACCACTACACCATGCTCCAAAGAAAGTGACCCAAAATGAAAAAGTAGTGAGTGGAGACACAGTTTACTAATTTTTACTAATATTACAGGAAGGAGATTCAAGAGTAAACATGTATT